TCCCTCTACCTTTTCTTAATGCTTCCTGAATCATTCCAGGTTTTTCCCCCATAGCATCTTTCAGTATTGCAACTAAAGACTTGGGTTTGTTTTTTCAGTTCTTTTGGTTTGAAATGCCAAATAAATTCTTCCTTTTTTTCATTCTCCAACTCCAGCTCTTTGTTTGTTCCATTTATAATACTTTGCTTTGTCATCATGAGTTGCTCTTTGAAATCTTCTACTCATCTCTTTCTCTTCAGCATCACTTCCATTTGTTTTGGCTTCTTGACATTATAGTGCAACTTTTAATCTCTTCTGACATCCATTTTGGTCTTTTTCTTTACCCTCTGTTTGAAATGACATTTTACTCTGTTCATGAATGATATCTATACCATTCTACAATTCTTCTGGTCTTTGATCCTTAGAGTTCAATGCCTCAAACTTGTTCTTGAAATAATTATTAAATTTGGGTGGTGTCGACTCAAGGTTATATTTTGGTTCTTGTGGGCTTGCCTTAATTTTCTTCAACTTAAAATTAAGACGTGTTATTGTTAAGTGCCGTCGAGTTGCAGGTGACTCATAGTGACCCTATGAAAGAGAGTCCTCAGTGCTTGGGTGTCTTTCATCCTATCTCCAGGTTCATAGGGTTTCCAGAGGCAAGCTGTTATGGAAGTGGATGCCACTCCTGCTTCCAAGCTTGTTTTAATTGGGAGCTCCACCCTACTCTCTGTCCACACTGGGTAACCATTAATGCAGTTGACACATCAGTGTCACAGTGTTCAGCCTCACAGCAACCACAAGTTACCACTATACTGCAACTTGTAAATTAAGACATAGAACAGAAATATTAAATTAAGTGCATTAATAGACCAATTAACTATTGTGTCACATGAAATCATGACCCTAAGTGTCAAACCTAGATATCAAATCTCATGAGGCACTTGATTATACCTAAGTAGCCTTCAGAGCTACTTTTTTTTTGTTATGGTAAAAATATCTGTCACATAACTTCTGCTAATTCATAATTTTACCAGATACAACATATTGACAGCATTTACAGTAATCAGCTGTGCCTTAATTTATGTGAGGTTTTTTTCCCCCTACCGTCATTAACCCTTCCTTCTCACTGCTTATAACTACTAACAAACTTTAGTTCCTGTACATTTGTCTTGCCTTTATAAAAGTAAGGTCATGAAATATTTGTCCTTTTGTGACTGAATTATTTCACTTGACAGAATGTCTTCAAGCTCCATTGGTATGCCATCTATATGCTGTTATGTGCTGTCAAGTCAACTATGACTCATAACAACCCTGTAAAAAGAGACCTGAACCTTGTCCTATTCTGCACCATCCTCATGATCTCCAATATTCTGAATCCCACTGTTACAGTCACTGTGTCAGTCATCTTGTTGAAGGTCTTCCTATCTTTCTCTGACCTTCACTTTTCCCAGCATGATGTCTTTTTCCAAACTGGCTGCACTTGACAACATGCTCAAAGTAAGTACATGAGATGCAATTGTACCATCCTTGCCTTTAAGAAGCACCCTCATTGCACTTTCTCCAAGACAGACTTATTTGTTGTTCTCTTGGCCGTCCATGGGATGCTCAGTACTCTTACCCAGCACCACAACCCATTGATTCTTCTTCTGTGATTCTTAGTCATTGTCCAACTTTCAAGTGCATAGGAAGCAACTGGAAGAAGTCATAGCTTGGAGCAGGTACACTTCAGTCTTTAAACGCATATCCTTGCTCTTTAACACATTGGACTGATCCTTGACAGAAAATTTTCTCTCCATCTTTTGATTTCTTGACTGTTACTACCATAGATATTGATTGTGGATCTAAGTAAAATGAAAGTATTAAAAACTTCAGTCTTTTATCCACCTATCATATTGTTGTTATTGGTCTAGTGGTGAGGATTTTTGTTTTCTTTGTGCTGACATGTAATTCATATTGAAGGCTGCAGTTGGTGATCATTTATAAGTATATTATGTCCTCTTCACTTTTTGCAAGCAAGATTGCATCATCTGTATAATGCTATTTAAAATTAATCATGTGTATGAATGGAAATCCAAAACCTCTGTAAAAAAAATAAAAATTAAAAATTAAAAAATTAAAAAAATAAAAATTAATCATGTGTAAGGTTATTGAGGATTCTTCCACCATTCCTGATAACACATTTTTTATAGAGTCCAGCTTCTTGATTATTTGCTCGACATCTAGATTAGATATGTATAGAGAAAAGCTACAACCCCCAACACACATCTTTCCTGATTTTAAACCATGTAGCATTCCCTTGTTCTGCTTCTTGGTCTATGTTTCGATTTAGCATGAGCACAATTAAGTATTCTGGGATTCTCATTCTTCCTCCATGTTACCCATAATTTGTTAAGATCCACGCAGTCAAATGCCTTTGCACAGTCAATAAAACGCAAGTAAATATCTTGTATTCTCTGCTTTCAGCTAAGATCCAACTGACTTTAGCAATGATGTCCTTTGTGCCTCTTCTGAATCCAGTTTGAACGTCTAGAAGTTCCCTATCAATATACTGCTGTAGTCATTTTAGATACTCTTCAGCAAGATTTTGCTTGCATGTGATATTATGCTATTTATTGTTCAATAATTTCCACATCCTGTGTCACAGACGAGAGCCACAGATAGGCAAGGGAGTAGAGAGGAAGCTTCCACTCACTTGCTTTAAGTGTGGATCAGAAGGACACTTGGCCAAGGGTGGCCCACATCAGGTCCTTGTGGCTGACAGGGCTCACAGGCCCCAGCTCCCAGCTGGAAACAAATAATTTCCACATCCTGTTGAATCAACTTTTTGGGGAATGGGAATAAATATAGATCTCTTTCAATCAGTTGGCCAGGCAACTGCCTCCCAAATGTCTTCGCATAGACTAGTGAACACATCCAGGGCTATGTCTGTTTGTTCAATCACTTGAGATCCCGTCAATTCTTGGAGCCTCCCCCCACCACCCCAATACAGCTTGAACTTCTTCCTTCATTGCCATTGGTTCTTAATCTTACCTACTTCCTGAAGTGTTTCAGTGTTTACCAGATCACTTCAGTTCTGTGACTCAAAGTATTTCTTTTCTGTTTATTTTCTCTGCATCATGAAAGATTTAGCCAATAGCATCCTTCAGTATTGCGACTCAAGGCTTGAATTTGTTCTTGAGTTCTTTCATCTCAGGAAATGCTGAGTGTGTCCTTTCCTATTGGTTTGTCTGACTCCAACTTTTTGCGCATTTCATTATAATACTGTGTCTTTGTGAGCTGCCCTTTGAAATCATCTATTCCGTTCTCTTACTTAAGCCTTTCTTCCCTCTACTTTGTTTTCTCTCCTTTCTTGTGCAAGTTTCAGTCTAGTCTCACAACTATTTTGGTCTTTTCTTTATCCCTCATTTTTGTAATGACCTTTTGCTTTCTTCATGGATGATATCCTTGATGTTATTCCACAGTTCATCTTGTCTTCTGTCATTAGTGTTCAGTGCATCAATCTGTTTTTGAGATGGTTTTTAAATTCAAGCGGGTTAGACTCAAGGTCATATTTTGGGGTTTATGGACTTGTTTTTATTTCTTTTTCCTTCTTTTGAACGTGTACATGAGTTATTGATGGTCTGCCCCATAGTCAGCCCCTGGCATGGTTTTGACTGCTTATAGTGAACTTCTCCACTGACTCTTTCCACAGCTATGTTGTTGTTATTGTTGTTTTGTGCCATTGAGTTGCTGGCGATTCATAGTGATCCTATGTATAATAGCTCTGAACCCTCCACTATCCTGAACCAATCTCACTGTCTCTGACACACCTGGTTCCATACCCCGGTCACTGTGTCAAACCGTCTCATCCAGGGTTGTCTTCTCCTGCATCATCCCTTCGGCTCTCTAAGTTTCATATCCTTCTCCAAGGAATGGTCCCACCTGGTAACATTCTCAAAGGCCCAGAGTATGTCAGATGGCATTTCAAATTCCTTGCTTCCAGAGAGCAACTTGGTTACACCCTCTCCAGGACAGACCTGTTTGTTCTCTTGGCAGTCCATGGTATGTATGTTCAATACTCTTCTCCAGTACTATAACTGAAAGACATCAATTCTTCATCTGTCATCTTTATAATCAATTTAATCCCAATGTAGTCTGTCAGGTGAAGTTCATTTATAGAGTTGCTATTTATATTTTCTAATAA